TGTCCCAATTTCCACCCCCCCCCCCCTTTGCCTCCCTCCACATGGCACATTCCCCACTCCCTCGGGCAATCCCCACATTATTGTTCATGTCCATGGGTCATGCATAGGTTCTTTGGCTACTCCATTTCCTATATTGTACTTTACATCCCCATGGTTATCTGTAACTACCTAGTTGTACTTTTTGATCCCCCTCACCTCTTCACCCATTCCCTCACAACACCCCCCAATCTGGTAACCATCAAAATGTTTTCTGTATCCATGATTCTGCCTCTGTTCTTCTTGTTTGCTTAGTTTGTTTTTTAGATTCAATTGTTGATAGATATGTATTTTTTGCCATCCTATTGTTCATAGTATTGATCTTATTCTTTTCCTTAAATAGATCTTTTTAAATTTTCACATAATAATGGTTTGGTGATGATGAATTCCTTTAGTTTGTGTGTGTGTGTGTGTGTCTAGGAGGCTCTTTATCTGCCCTTTAATTATAAATGATGCCTTTGCTGGGTAGAGTAATCTTGGCTATAGATCCTTGCTTTTCATGACTTTGAATATTTCTTGCCAATCCCTTCTAGCCTGCAAAGTTTCTTTAGAGAAATCAGCTGACAGTCTTATGGGAACTCCCCTGTAGGTACCTAACTGCTTTTCTGTTACTGCTTTCAGATTCTCTTTTTATCTTAACCTTTAGCATTTTAATTATGATGTGTCTTGGTGTGGGCCTCTTTGCATCCATCTTGTTTGGGACTCTCTTGTGCTTCTGGACTTGCATGTCAATTTCCTTCACCAAATTAAGACAGTTTCCTTTCATTATTTTTTCAAACAGATTTCCAATTTCTTACTCTTTCTCTTCTCCTTCTGGCATCCCTATGATGTGAATGTTGGATCTCTTGAAGTTGTTTCGGAGGCTGGTTACACTATCTTTGTTTTTTTTCAATTCTTTATTCTTCTTGTTGCTCTGATTGGTTATTTTTTACTTCCTTATGTTCGAAATCATTGATTTGATTCTTGGCTTTATCTACTCTACCCTTGTTTTCTGTAAATTGTTCTTCATTTCAATTAGTGTATCCTTTGTTTCTGACTGAATCCTTTTTATGCTGTTGAGGTCCTCACTAAGTTCCTTGAGCATCCTTATAACCAATGATTTGAAGTCTGCATCTGATAGATTGCTTATCTCCATTTTGTTTACATCTTTTTCTAGAGTTTTGATCTATTTTTTTTATTTGGGCTATGTTTCTTTGTCTCCTCATTTTCACAACTTCCCTGTGTTTGTTTCTATGTATTAGGTAGAGCTCCTATGACTCCCTGTCTTGGTAGTGTGGCCTAATGTAGTAGGTGTCCTGTAAGGTCCAGTGGCATAGCCTCTCCTATCACCAAGCTGGGTACCAGAGATGTGCCCTCCATATGGGCTGAGTACACCCTGCTCTTGTAGTTGAGCCTTGATTTCTGTTGACAGGTCAATGGGAGATATTTGCCCAGGCCAGTGAGCTGCAAGGACTGGCTGCAACTGCTGATCACCAACCTCTGCCCTTCATGGAGGATCAGCTGTGAGGGGGCAGGGTAGTCTGTATGTGTCCACCGGGTGCACAGGCTCTTGGGCTTTCTGGGTGGTGCAGACCAAGGTCAGCCCCAACCTATGTTTTGCCCAGGACCACCCTGCTTGAACTATAAGGCAAGCTGAGAAGACTGCTACTTGTGCTGAGTTTGGAGATTCCCAGGTGAAGCTGAGCTGTGAATCTAGGCTGGTTGCTGCTAGTGCTGGGCCTGGGGCCACTTAACAATAGGTATAGGGGATAGGGGTTCACTGAGGCTGGCTGTTGCTTGTTTGAGAATATTTAGGAAGTTGTGAAGCATGAGCCAAGACCAGTCATTCATATGGAAAAGCAGCTTGGGTGGGCCTATAATTTAGGTGGGGTGGAATCTCTGTAGGTCTCCAGAGCATGGCAAACAGTATTAGCCAGGTTGATGGAGCCTCAGATATGACACCAGCCTGCTGGCTCTGTGGCTTTTGGGGGGGAGGTTTCAGAAAAGGGACAGTGGCCTTTGCCCACCTTTCTGTCTGGAAGGAAGCTGTCTCCCAGCTCTCTTCTTGATGTCAGACACTTGGGTTCCTCCCTGTCTGCCCCTCTAGTGCCTTTCAAGCTGCTACTCTGGTGCTGGAGCTCAAAGGGAGTGAGTCTGAGTAAGTCTGTGTGTAGATTCTTTAAGAGGAACTGCTTGAGACTCCAGAAGTTTCTTCCACCGACTCAATCTCTCCTGGTTTTTGCAGCCAGAAATTATGGGGACTTAATGTCTTGCCATTGGAATGCTGTGCTAGAGCTCATGGCGTGGGGCTGGGACTCCTCACTCATGAGATAGCCCTCTTGGATTTTTGTCCACCACATGTGCATGTGGGACCAGCCCATTCTACATCTTTGCCTCTCCTACCACCAGTCTGGATGGAGATTTCTTTAACTCCGTGGTTGTCAGACATCCATTCAACTTAATTTCTGACACTTCTGAGTGACGGTTATTCTGTTTTAGTTGTAATTTTGATTCTACTTACTCTTAGTTTCTGCTCCCTCAAAGATTCAGTTTGCCAGCACCCATTGTATCAGGGTGAAGATGGGAGAAAAATCAGACCCGATTAGTAAGAGATTCTTGTCAAAGGTGAGGCCAGGTTAAGGGGAAACAATGAGGACCAGGTAAGCACACCCTGGGGCTAGCAGCCCCAGGAAGTGCCATCACCCCTAGGCCAACAGGATGAGGCAGGGAGCAGTTAGGGAACTGGAGAGAGGACTGGACTTTCAGGAAGAGCTGGCTTGCAAAGGCTGAGATCTTCTGCAAAGATAGAAGGGATCCAGGGCAAAAAGAAGACCTTATCTCTCTCCCAAGTAAGGAGCCTAGACTCCTCAGCAAGGTAGAGAGTGTGGCCAAGAGATTTAGAGAGGCAAAGGAGGAACATCCAACACACCTTCATGGCCTTGGTGAAACTTGAAGCTTTTTTCTATAAACCTCTTTGTCACATCCCTCAGGCAAGGTGCTCTAGTTACTCAGTATTTCCTAGTTCAGATTTCTAGCTGAGTGAATGAGGGCCTTTCAGCTCTGGTTTCATGGGCCAGGCTGTGGATTAGGTGCCCTTGGGCCGGCTGCCTGGTCCCCGCAGCTATATGGGAAATAGTGGGGGTGAGGGGGTGGGAAAAGTACTACAAAACATCCTCACACTGAGTGGAGCCAGTTCATCTGTTGGCAGGTCTAAAACAGATGCTGAGTGGACACATGTATCACATATAAATTAAGTGATAGACATTGTAACATGGTAATTGATTTGTCTCAGGGCTCAAATGTTAAGGTTTATTGAGTACTGTCTATGATCCCTGGTAAAATTACTTCATGGGTATTCTTTCTTCTAATCTTTGCAGCTCCTCTGTAAGTAGGCTTAATTATTATCCTGTATATGTTACACATGAGAAGGTCACTCCTGCTAGCAGAGGTTACACAACCAGCCAGAGGGTGTCCAATGATACGTAAGTGGTGGAGGCTGGATTTCACCCAGGCCAGGCAATCTGACTTTAGGCCTAAGCTACTGAACACCATTCTTGCCACATCTATGAGAAACAAAATTACAATTACAGTAGAACCTCCATTCTTGAACTTAATTCATTCTGGAAAACTGTTTGAGAAGTGATTTGTTAAAAAACTGAATCTCCTTTGCTTGCCACCTGAAAGATGCATGACTGATCATATAGGTGTCAGCATGAAAGTGCTGTCAGGTAGAGAATTGACACCTGAAGTCTTGCTAGATAAGTGAGGCACTTTTTTCCTGTGAATAACTTGGTCAAGACTGAATTGTTCAAGAAACAAGATGTTTGGGAATTGAGGTTTGACTGTATCATCATCGTTTTTTTTTTAAAGATTTTGTTTATTTATTGTTAGACAGAGGGGAAGTGAGGGAGAAAGTAAGGGAGAGAAACAACAGTGTGTAGTTGTCTCCTATGTGTCCCCTACCAGGGACCTGGCCTGCAACCCAGGCATGTGCCCTAGACTGGGAATTGAACTGGTGACGCTTCGATCCACAGGCTGGTACTCAACCACTGAGCCACACCAGCCAGGGCTGTATCCTCATCTTTTACAAGAGCTCATCTCTGGGGAGAGTTTCCTTCTTTCCAGCAGTGTTTCCAAAAGCAATAGTGTGGTGGCACTAGTTACCCAAGAGGTTGCTGTAAGGAGACTGGATAAAGGGTACAGAGGGTCTAGCCTGATTATGTCTTAGAACTGCATGTGAACCTACATTTATCTCAAAACAAAGCTAAATAAATATTATAGTAGCAGTGTCAATGGTCATGGCTTCATCTACTCAACAAACATCTGCTAGGCACATTCTAGGTGCCAGGCCCTGTTCTAGGTGCTGGGGAGACAGCAAAGCAGGACACACACCAAACTCCCAGACCTAATGCAGCTAGCATTCTAAAGGAAGTTGACTAGTTCAAAACTTTATTCTGTCAGGTTGCTTATAACTCAAGTTATTAAATACATGCTTATTATGTAAATATTGATTACAAAGTATTCTCTTCCTAATCCCCTGCAAAGTAGGTCTGATTAGGTTTCCCTGGGTTACTTGACAAGACTTAGAGTATTTGTGAATAGCAAACCTTGTCCCAAATGGTAGCTAAATGAGTCACTTTTCTCTTCACTTAGTGTTTAGAATACCTATAAAATTTCAATGCTGCTGTATTGCACATATGTTGGAAAGTCTGACTCCCTTCTTTTTCATGTTCTTCTTTGCTCCAGGCTCCAGAGAGTCCAGCTAAGAATCTGTGGACACCATCAGATGTCCCAGGGATGGTGTGGATGTGACTGATAAATCAGGAATCCTGGCTCCCAAAGACAGATATTTATCTGGACCATTCCAGGGCCCTAGAAATCCAAGACATCTGGGAGGATGCAGGCAGCCCATGGAAAACGGCAGCCACCAAAGCGCTGAGGGGAGCCCCTCAAGGCGTGGCTGTCTGGACCCCAAGCCCTTCTCCATGATGTCCTGTAATGGCACATCCATTGAGACTTTTGAATACTTGCTGCTGAATGGCAACAACGTGTCAGACTCTGGGGCAACCCTGCCAGCCGCTCCCCTGCGGGTGTGCTTGGCAGTAATCATGATGCTGATGATTGTGGTTGGGTTCCTTGGCAATTCTGTTGTCTGCATCATCGTGTATCAGAGGCCAGCCATGCGTTCAGCCATCAACCTGTTGCTGGCCACACTGGCCTTCTCTGACATCATGCTGTCCTTATGCTGCATGCCCTTCACTGCTGTCACCCTGATCACCGTCCACTGGCACTTTGGGGATTATTTTTGCCGGCTCTCAGCCACACTCTACTGGTTTTTTGTTCTGGAGGGTGTGGCCATCCTGCTCATTATCAGTGTGGACCGCTTCCTCATCATTGTCCAACGCCAGGACAAGCTGAACCCTCGGAGGGCCAAAGTGATCATTGCTGTGTCCTGGGTGCTGTCCTTCTGTGTCTCGGCTCCCTTGCTGGCCAGCTGGACCATTGTTGAGGTACCAGCACGAGCCCCCCAGTGTGTGCTGGGTTACACAGAGTTCCCAGCTGGCCGTGCCTACATGGTAACGCTGGTGGTGGCTGTGTTCTTTGTGCCCTTCAGCATCATGCTGTGTGCCTACCTGTGCATCCTGCACACAGTCCGGAAGAACACCATCCGTGTCCACAACCAGTCTGACAGCCTGGACCTGAGACAACTCACCAGGGCCGGCCTGAGGCGGCTGCAGCAGCAGCAGCAGGTCAGCCTGGACTTGAGTTTCAAAACCAAGGCCTTTACCACCATCCTCATCCTCTTCGTGGGCTTCTCACTGTGTTGGCTGCCTCACTCAGTCTACAGCCTTCTGTCCGTGTTCAGCAGGAGATTCTACTGCAGCCCCTCTTTCTATATCACCAGCTCCTGTGTCCTGTGGCTCAGCTACATCAAGTCTGTCTTCAACCCCATTGTGTACTGCTGGAGGATCAAAAAATTCCGTGAGGCCTGCATAGAGTTGCTGCCCCAGACTTTCCAAATACTCCCCAGAGTGCCTGAGAGGATCCGAAGGAAAATCCAGCCAAGCACCATCTATACGTGCAACGAAAACCAGTCTGCTGTGTAGGGAGAGGCAGGCAAACTGGAGGAAGCACACAGGGACTGGGCCAGGTCCTGTCTGCCCTTCTGCTCTGCTTCCTGGCACTTGAGTCCTAGTTGGCATTTTGTGGTGGCCATTTAAGCACAAAGGTATTCATTTGTGACCAGGTGAGCTACAGCTCCCATGTTTGTAAGATGAGTTATTTCTGTTTCTTGCTGCCAGAGAACAGGGCATATGTCTGATAGAGACTGGAAAGTAGTTAAGACACTGGGAAATGGGGGAGTGCAGGAGATGGGCAGAAAGTTAGGGAAAAAGAGGGGAGCAGGGAGTGAGGTTGGTTGAGTGTGGGGCAGGAGGAAGGCTCTGCTTAAGAGAAACCCCGTGGTGCCATATTCTGAGATGAGCAACCCAAGTAGGTATCATCTCACTGGTTAACATTTACTTTATTTGATGCCAGCATTCTTCAGCAGCATTTATGTCTGTAGGGCACAGGGAGATGTGCATGTTCTTGATGCTCAGATGTGCATTTATGACCATACCAAATCATCCTCTCTATGAACCAAAATCACTCTGGGGAGCAAAGTGAGGCCCTGTGCTTCTCAGTTCCCAGTATGACACATGGGAGGGATGGTTCAGGGACAGCTCAGCTGAGATGAGACGCCCACCTCAGTGCCATGTATGTACCCCATCCCTCCTCCCTGCATAGCCCACCCCCTCCCTGCACCTGGAAGCCCTTTGTCCTCCCTATTTGCCACGACAGTCCTTCTGCCCCTTTTCTTCCCTTGCTGGTCCCCATGCCTCTCTTTGTCTTCTTTCCATCCCTCCCAGTGACAGAAAAAACACAGTCATCTTGTAATTCATCTTTTCAGCAAGTATTTGTAGCTTTCTGTCTCAGAAGTGGTCAGCGGGCGTTGTTTACACTGTTCCTCTCGACACTGAGGCTGTAGCCTCTGTGAGCTGCCATAGCCACTTTAGCACTGGAACTGCTGGCAGGGGCATGCTAGACACCCACCCTGTTGGCAGACCCCATGTAACTTTGTGCTCCTCCTACCTCATTCTGATACTGTCCCCTGGGTCCCCACCCAGGGTCTTGGTCCTCTAAGCCCTGGCAGGACTAAGATCCTAGAAATGAGGCCGCTGAGAAGCGACTTTTCTGCTTGTGCTGTACCCTCAGCCACTATGCCAAGGGCCACCCATTACCAATGGGAGCTTCTGATATGGCGTTAACTTTCCTGAGTTCACAGCACACCACTAAGTCCATGAAGCTCTCTTGACAGATTCAGATCTAAAGAGAGTGTGAAATTTAAGAAGAAATTCAGAAAATCCAATTCCAAGTCTAACTCTAACATGAACTAGTTGTGACCTTGTTCATTTTAACTAACTTTTCTGGGCCTCAGTTTTCCCATTTACCAGGTGAGGAAGCAGGTCTAGATGATCTCCAATGTCCCTTTCATCTCCCAAACACTCTGATTCTAAAAGGTATATCTCATCTACATGTAGTCACTAGACCCTCTAAATTCATTGATTGGTCCAAGCAATGAGCCTCTATTGAGTGCCTACCAGATGCAAAGCACTGTGGGACAAATAGTGATAAATAAGGCACAGGCTGTGCCCAAAAGCAGTTGTCCAATTTAGCTCAAGATAATCATAACTCAAATTTGGCCTAAAAACACATATACTCCCTTTTGGTGTCTCTTTTCATTTCCTTTCTAAGGTTGTATTAAGACACCAGCTCCCATTCTCACACTCGCTTACTGTAGCATTGGTGACAGAGGCAGGAAAAAGCAGGAATTACAGAGAACATGACTCATGTTATCTAAGCCCAGAGGAGGAGGATTTGCTGAGAAAATAATTGATACCATTTCTCAGTAACTTTGCTCTCCTTTTATACCCGGGTGCAGAGAAAAAGAAAATGGACAATTGGTGTGTGTTTGACTAAGATGGGCCCATCAATTCTGTGTCCCAAGTGCCCCAGCAAGGTCAGGGTTTGCCTTCAGCTCTCACAAGGCAGTTGCATAGCCTTCCTGGTATCCAAGAGCACAGCCAGACCACCAAGGAGACCAGGCTAGTGGGCATCTCTCCTCTGGTGGACATTTAATAAAATGCTCCTCCAGAGCCTTCAGTAAGAGAAATCACAAAACTGAATGAATGAAGGTAACAAAACTTACATCAATCAGTATTATATGATGTATGTTGGACAGTAATATATGTTTCAAAGTAATAATTTTGTATACATTTAAAATAAAGTATTATTGCTCTTTCTGTGTATGACTCTTCTCTTGCCAAAATTAGCACAAAGACCATGAATAGTGAGCCAAAAATTTGGAGTCCAACATCTAAGACACAACAACTTCAGGAAATCTAGAACCTGCCCATTACTAACCAAGCTGGAATGACTAAAGATGGACATTGATGATAAGAAGACAACCAGGAGATTATTGGAGCAATGGGTCAGTACTGGGGTGCCCACAGTTTTTTAAAAGTCATGGCCCTGCTAAGAAACTGCAGCCAATTAGTCTTCAGCCTGATTTTCAGTGTGTCACCTTCAGAATTCTCTCTGGCCTCACTGAACCTTTCACAAACTACTTTCCCAAGAACACCAAGTTCTTGTTTCCCTCTGTGAGGCTTGTAGAAGCAGCAGCAGCTGCTGCTTCTTTGTTTTTTGTTTTTATCTCTTCTTGAGTCCTGGAATCACCTAAACCTTGGACACCTAAATTGTTTTGTTGGGCCTTGGGAAGGGGCCATGGTAATAACTATCCAGGAGGTAAGCCCTCGGGTTCCTTGGGAAAGCCTAGCCTCAGAAAACAAGACACAAATGAGTCTCAGAAGTGTCATCCTAATTCTGATTACCCCTGAAAATCCACTGCCTTTTCACCTTGAAACTTGGTCCCTGCTCTCAGGGTGCAATCAAAGCAAAGGGTCTCTGAGACATTCTGACAACCAAGATAAGCAACAAAAATCTAGATCTTTTCCTACTTTACTGTTCCAAGACCAGGATGTGCCTTCCCCAAACATGATTCACAACACATACTTTTTTGGGGGGGGACTAAAACCTGCTAGTTAAGAATTTACAGTGTTGATCTGCCCCGGTTGCTCATGCAGTCAGCAGCAGTGACACATAGAGGACCTGAAGTTTTGGGGTGCCTGGCTTTTTGGGGTGCCAGGGTTTTTTGCTCCTATGGAAATGACCAGGTGATGAAGCCGAAAGGGCTGCACTCCCCAAACCCAGGGCCACCTTGCTTTCTGTGTGATTCCATGCAAGTGATTTTGTGCCCCATCTCATCTCCTAAGTGGTCTATTCTCTCACTCTTGGCTCAGTGAGGAATAAATGAAATAATGTAAACAAAGAATGTAGTCCCACGCCTGGGCCGTGGTAGAGGCTGCATGTACGGTGGCAATAATCATCACAGCTCTACTGTCAGCCTTTGTCCTTTGTGGAGCAAGGGTAGCAATTTGTTTCTGAATGAAACTGGCTGTTCAGTTCCTTTCCTTATTCTCATATAGTCCTAAGATTTCAGGGTTCAGTTGATAAGAACACAAAATCCCCTAAAGCCAGGATTTTGATTTTAAAGAACAAAATTATTTTTTTTTCAAAGATTTTATTTATTTATTTATTTATTTTTTTAGAGAGGGAAGGGAGGGAGAGAGAGAGAGAGAGAGAGAGAGAAACATCAATGTGCGGTTGCTGGGGGTTATGGCTTGCAACCCAGGCATGTACCCTGGCTGGGAATTGAACCTGCGACACTTTGGATCGCAGCTTGTGCTCAATCCACTGAGCTACGCCAGCCAGGGCCAAAAGAACAAAATTCTTGATAGTCTGAACTGCAGTACTGACTGCATTCGAAACTCACCCTGAGCGATAAGTTGGACTCTCAGGGCTGCTAGGTGAATGGGATGGATGGGTGGGTGCAGCGCCGTTTCCATCCTGGGAAGGCAACCTGCAGTGCACATCCTGCTGCTCTTAGGGTGGCTCTGCACCTGCAGAGCTGAGAATGTAGGGACCCTCAATGGAGAAAGGACTGTGGATTTAGATAAAAGGGTGAGACACCTTTGTGTCTGCCAAACTCTAACACAATGGAATACGTAGCAGAAAGAAGGAACTCCTACCTTTTGTGAAATCATGGATGGAATTAGAGAATATTATGCTAAGTGAAAAGAGATAGTCAGTGAAAGACAAGTACCATATGATCTCACCTATAAGAGGAATCTAATGAACAAAATAAACAACAAACAAAATAGAACCACAGACATGGAAACAGGGAACAGACTGTGAGCAGAGGGGAAGTGAAAGGGGATCATGTTTGAAAGAAGGGGAAATGACTAGTCAAAGAACATGTATCACTGACCCATGGACATGGATGACAGTGTTGGAATTGCCTGTGGAAGAAGAGGTGGGAACCTGGGCTGGGTGGAGAAGGGCAAAAGGGAAAATGTTGGGACACCTGTAATAGAATAACAATTAAAAAACAATAATAATTTTAAAAAGTAAAGTGGCTTTAAAAACATAACTTCATTCCCCTCTCATTAAAGTCCAGGGCACGTAGGCAGGTTCTCTGCTCAGGAGGTGGTTTAGGACTCGTTCCTCCCTTCTAGTTTCCCACTGTCTCCTGACTCCTCGTCCTCATGTTTGTGGTGAATCCTGGCTGCAGCCAGGGCTGTGTTCTGACTCCTGAGGGGAGGAAACAGTGAGGAGGAGCAGTGGGATAAGAGTCACCACATTCCCTTGGGCTCCGCTGGTCAGGAGCTGCGTCCCCTGACCACACAGCTGCAAAGGAGGCTGGGAGATGGAGTTGAGAGCTGGGCAGCCACGTACCTGGCTGAGAAGGAGAGGAGAGGGATCTGGGGCATTCCCAGCCATCTCTGCCAAGATATCACACAGTTTTGAAAAAGAAGAGATCCTAGTACATATACAAATTCTTACGTCCTAGGTACAACTTCATCAGCGAGCCTTTTCTCATTGCACAGTAAACACATTTCTGTCACATGGACCCAATAAGATTGCCTCTCCCTTTACCTCTAGCCCCCAACATACCAGGCACT